AGTGATTAACAGACATCTATAGAACATTCCATCCAATTTAAAAAGAATATACCTTCTTCTCACTGCCACATGGAACCTTCTCAAAAATCAACCACATATTGGCAACATATCAAACCTCAGCAGGTACAAAAAAATTGGAATAATTCCATGCATCTTATCAGACCACCATGTGTTAAAATTAGAATTCAACAGCAACACAAATTTCATAAACCCTACAAACTCATGGAAATTGAATAATGCACAATTACACCATTCCTGTGTCAAAGAAGAAATAAAAAAAGAAATTAAAGACTTCCTAGAATTCAATGAGAATGAAGCCACAACACACCCAAACCTATGGGACCCTTTGAAAGCAGTACTATGAGGGAAGTTCATAACACTAAGTGCCCACATGAAGAAACTGGAGAATAGTTATATTAGAGAATTAACAGCACATTTGAAAGCTCTAAAACAAAAAGAAGCAAACCCCCCCAGGAGGAGTAGATGCCAAAACATAATCAAACTGAGGGTTGAAATAAATAAGGTAGAAACTGGGAAAACAATACAAAGAATCAATGCAATGAAGAGGTGGTTCTTTGAGAAAATCAACATGATAGATAAACCTTTGTCAAAATTTACCAAACAGCAGAGTTGAATATGCATATTAACAAAATCAGAAATAAAAAGGGGGACATAACAACAGACTCTGAGGAAATTCAGAGAATCATCAGGTCATACTTTGAAAACCTGTACTCCACAAAATTTGAAAATGTAAAGGAAATGGACAATTTTCTGGATAGCTATTATTTGTGAAAATTAAATCAAGAACAGATAAGCAATTTAAATAGACCAATAACCCCTGTGGAAATAGAAGCAGTCATCAAACTTTCCCAACCAAAAAAAGCCCAGGTCTAGATTGCCTCAGTCCAGAATTCTACCAGAAATTCAAAGAGCAGCTTATACCAATTCTTCTCAAAGTATTCCACACAATAGAAGTAGAAGGGTCTTTGCCAAAGTCTTTCTACAAGGCTTCAATAACCTTCATACCCAAGCCACACAAAGACACAACTAAAAATGAGAACTTCAGACCAATATCCCTCATGAACATTGATGCAAAAATATTCAATAAATTACTGGCAAATTGGATCCAAGAACACATCAGAAAACTCATTTACAATGATCAAGTAGGCTTCATCCTAGGCATGCAGGGTTGGTTCAACATAAGAAAATACATCAATGTAATCCACCATATAAACAAGCTGAGAAACAAAAATCACAAGATCATTTCACTAGATGCAGAAAAAGCCTTTGACATCATCCAACACCCCTTCATGATAAAGGTCTTGGAGAGATCTGGGATAACAAGAACTTACCTTAACATAATAAAAGCTATATACAGCAAACCAACAACAGACATCAAACTAGATGGAGAAAAACTCAGCACAATTCCTCTAAAATCACGAACAAGACGAGGCTGTCCCCTCTCCCCATACCTCTTCAATATTGTATTCAAAGTTCTAGCTAGAGCAATAAGACAACAAAAGGAGAACAAGCAGATACAAATTGGAAAGGAAGAGGTCAAACTTTCACTATTTGCAGATGATATGATAGTTTACATAAGTGACCCAAAAAACTCTACCAGGGAACTCTTAGCTGATAAACACCTTCATCAAAGTGGCAGGATACAAGATCAACTCAAGAAAATCATGAACCATCATTCTCATTATCATGGGAGGGCATTTAATGCAGCCTTAATGCCAGTTGGTGTCATTCTTGAATGATGACTACCTTATATGCCATCCTAGAACTCTCATCCAATGGCTGATGGAGGCAGAGGCAGACACCCACAGCTGTGAAGCGAATTGAACTCCTGGAACCCAGTTGCAAAGAAGAGTGATGACCAAAGGAATCAAGATCGGGCTGGCAAACCCACAGAGGCAGCTGACCTAAATAAGGGGGAACACATGGAACACAGACTGATGACTGAGGGGCTAGTATGGTACTGATCCAGACACCTTCCCACAGAACCTGGGTGACAGAGAGGAGGCCTTGGCAATCCGTGGTACCTGGGAGAATGGAGCAGTATTTATTACTGGCGTACAGAAGGACTTTGGGAACCCATACCACGTGAAGGGATGCTCTCTCTGCCGGGAAACATGAGGGAGAATCTGGACCTTTCCCGGGATGATGTGACAGATCCTGAAAATCCCTCATGGAGGCCCTTGCCCTCCCTGGGGAGTGGAGGGGGTGTGGATTGGGGGTGATGGGTTGGAAGGATTGGGGGTGGGGGAAGAGGGAAGGGAGAGGGAACTGAAAGTGACATGCATAAAAGTTAAATAAAAAATATATGGAAAAAAAAGAAAATCAGTAACCCTAATACATACAGATGATAAAAGAGCTGAGAAAGAATTCAGAGAAATATCACCTTTGACAATAGCCACAAACAACATAAAATACCTTGGGGTAATGCTAACCAAACAAGCGAAAGACTACATCGTAAGAACTTTGGGTCTTTAAAGAAAGAAATTAAAGAAGACACCAGAATATGGAAAGATCTCCCATGCTCTTGGATAGATAGGATTAACATAGTAAAAATGGCAGCCTTACTGAAAGCAATATACAGATTTAACACAATCTCCATTAAAATACCAGCGCAATTTTTCACAGACCTTGACAGAACAATTCTTAACTATATAGGGAAAAACAAAACACCTAGGATAGCCAAAACAACCCTGTTCAACAAGGCAATAGGTGGAGGCATCACCATCCCTGACTTCAACTGTATTACAGAGCTATAGTCCTGAAAACAGCTTGGTATTGGCACAAAAATAGAGATAGACCAATGGAATCAAATTGAACATTGTGACATTAGCCCATACATGTATGAACACCTGATCTTTTTTTCCTTTTTTTTTTTTTTTTGGTTTTAAGAGACAGGGTTTCTCTGTATTGTTTTGGAGGCTGTCGGTCCAGCCCGGCCTTGAACACACAGAGATCCACCTGCCTCTGCCTCCCGAGAGCTGGGATTAAAGGCGTGCACCACCACCGCCCGGCTGAACACCTGATCTTTGACAAAGAAGCTAAAATTATACCACGGACAACAGATGGTGCTGGCATAACTGGAGGCTGACAAGTAGAAGACTGCAGATAGATTCACATCTATCGTCATGCACAAAACTTAAATCCAAATGGATCAAAGACCTCAACATAAATACAGCCACACTGAACCTCTTAGAGGAGAAAGTGGGAGGCATACTTGAATTAATTGATATAGGAGACTGCTTCCTGAACATTACTCCAGTAGCATAGACACTAAGATTGACAATTAATAAATGTGACCTCCTGAAACTGAGAAGCTTCAGTAAGGCAAAGGACCCAGTCAGCAACACAAAAAGGCAGCCCACAGATTGGGAAAAGATATTCACTAACCCCACATCTGACAGAGGGCTGATCTCCAAAATTTACAAAAAAATTCAAGAAGCAAATTTCCAAAATACCAGTGGATACAATCAAAAAGTAGGGTAGAGAACTAAACAGAGAATTCTCAGTAGAGGAGTCTAAAGTGGCTGAGAGACACTTTAAAAAGTGCTCACCATCCCTAGCCATCTGGGAAATGCAAATCAAACCAACTCTGATACACCATCTTACACCTGTCAAAATGGCTAAAATCAAAAACGCCAATGACAGTTTATGTTGGAGAGGATGTGGAGAAAGGTGAACACTCCTTCACTGCTGGTGGGAGTGCCAATTCATACAGCCACTTTGGAAATCAGTATGGAGATTCCTAAGGAAAATGGGAATCAGTCTACCACAAGACCCAGCAATTCCACTCTTAGGCATATACCCAAAAGATGTACATTCATTCAACAAGTATGTCTGTTCTGCTATGTTCATAGTAGCATTATTTGTAATAGCCAGAACCTGGAAGCAACCTAGATGCCCCTCAACTGAAGAGTGGATAGAGAAAATGTGGTACACTTACACAGTGGTATACTATTCATCAGGAAAAAAAACCAATGGAATCTTGAAATTTGCAGGCAAATAGATGGCACTAAAAGAAACCAACCTGAGTGAGGTAACCCAGGTACAAAAAGAGAAATATGGTATGTACTCACTAATTTATGGATTTTAGACATGAATCAAGGGAGTGCCAGCATACAATCCCACTGCCTGAGAGTCTGGGAAACAGAAGCTTTATCCAGTGACTGATGAAAGCAGAGGCAGACACCCACAGCTAAACACTGAAGTGAACTCTTGGAATCCAGTCACAGAAAAGGAGAACTGGTGAGCAAAGGAGTTAAAACTGAGCTGGTTTAACTTACAGAAGCAGTTTACCTGAACAAGGGGGAGCTCTTGGAACCCAGTTTGATGGCTGTGTGCAAAGCATGGGACTGACCCAGACCCCCTGAATGTGGGTGTCAGTGAAGAGGCCTAGGTAATCCTTGGGGCCTTGGGTAATATTTATCCCTGGCATACAAACTGACTTTGAATGCCCACCGCACAATGAGGGATGGTCTCTCAACCTGGACTCTTGTGGGAGGGCCTAGGCCCTGCCCTGGATGAAATGACAGACCCTGGAGATCCACCATGGGGGGGCCTCACCCTCCGTGGGAATCGGAGTTGAGGTTGGGTTGGAGACTGGGGGGCCTCGTGGGGAGGGAAGGGGAGTAGGAGAAGCAGAGAGAGCTGGGATTGACATGTGAAACAAGCTTGTTTCTAACTTAGATTTTAAAAAAAGGAAGAGGAAAAAAAAAAGAAGCCTAGAAAGTGATTGTATGGACTGGGCTAAAACTTGGGTCAGAAATAATCAATAATGATTGCTTTTCTATCTGTTCCCTGATGGCAACCTTCCTTCCTTCCTTTTTTTTTGAACTACATTCATTTTACATGCAATTTATATTAACTGTGATCAAGTTTGTCCTATGCTAAATTCATCTGAGAGATGGTGGTGAGTGGTACCATGGCCTCGCTGTTTCTAATGTCTTCTGTGTGTAATGGTGGAGGTGTCAGGTAGTACTCACGGCAGACATGATGAGCTCGCCCCCAAGGTTTTGGATCTCAGCTTTAACTTGGCTGCAGATTTTCAGCTGGTGGGAGTAGAATTTAATCTGTTCCAGATAAGCCAGCAAATCCTGTTTGCACGATGGATCTGGACACTGCAAGAATACCAGAGATATAAATAGAAATAGCAAAATGAAAAAGTACATCAGATTGGGGAATACACACACCATGGATACCTTACAGGGCAGTGATTTTCCACAAGCCCTCTTTCTTATGCCAGCCCAGCTACAGTTCCATACACTGCATTAGAAAGCTCCTATTGAAACAGCTTATTTGTTCTTCAGGTGTAGTCACTGAGATTAGGCAAAGTATTTGTTATAGGAATGTACAGATATGAAGAAATGTATGAAGAGCTGTCTTCAACTTATGATAAGTACAAGAGCCTTCAGATTATGTCTTTAGGTTTACTTGAAGAAATAGTAATAGGCAATTATCTCATCACTTCAGGGACAGATAGCTACAAGAACCACTACAAGAATATTCCATGAAATGCATACATTTTTGCTGTCTTCCTTGCGATATTTGTGTGAGCATACCCAATCCACAAAGAAATACATTATGTTATATTAACTTTTGGCTTTGGTGCTCTTAGCTTTTGTAAAAAAAATGGAAATTATTTCTATATGAGATAACATCTGCAGATGCAATGCAGCTCAGAAGCAGACACGTCGCTTAAAGAAGCAGGCCACTTTTTAAATAAACAGTCCCTCTTTCTGGCTAATTTTCGATAAGGAAAGCCTATGAAATTAGTTCTAAACATCACTATAACATGGCAAATGTCTCAGGATTAAGGTGAGTCTTCCTGCTGTCTCCCTCATAAAGTTACAGGCTTAAAAATTATGTTCCTCACCTTAGTTCTATTTTTAGTAACTTTTCATAAGAACATAGACATGTAAACAGAAACTTGTAACCAAAGAAATGTATTGCTACAGCACTTAAAAGATCAAAGATTGTAAATAACACAAAATAGTAGAAAGAGAAAATATGAAAGTCTATCTAAATACTGTGACATTGTGTCTTTTCAACACATTTTCAGTGGATGGAGAGAAGGCTCAGTGGTTAAGAGTGCTTGCTGCTCTTGCAGAGGATCCAAGCAAATTTAACTACTAGACCCTACACCAAGCAGTCCACAACCACCTGTACCTCCAGTTTGAGGGGCGGTGACACCCTCTTCCTACTTCCAAAGGTACTCACAGATTATGTATGGCATTCACCTACACAAACAAATGCATTTGCATAAATAAAATAACATACAATATTACATTTAAAATATTTTCAAGCAATATTGGAGATAATGTTCAGTGGTGGAAGGTTAAAAACTCTGAATTTAAAATTACATGCATCATTTCAACTAAATTGGATCAAATGTGTAGATTTTAAGCATACTGAAAGGGAAGTCTATAAAAATGTTAATGATATCGTACAGTCAGTTATCTCCACTTGCTTCATATATTACATTTGGGTTGAAATAAATACGCATTATTTCCACAATGTTGCAATGATATTTAAAACCTTTAAATTGAATTATATAAGTTTACAAATTAAAAGGTAGGATGAATGGCCATCAGTGAGATGGCTCAGGATTAAGGATGCTTGCCACCAAATCCAATGACAGGAGTTCAATTCTTATAACTCATAAGGTAGAAGAAGAGGTCAAATTCCTGTGATTTATCCTCTGATAGCCTCATGTACATTGTGGCACGTGAGTCCTATCCACTCCCCATGAATATATAAATGTAAAAAAGTAAGATGAAAGACTAGAAAAATCTCTCAGGGTTATTTGCATTCATCTATTATAATCATCTTACACTATCTACTAAGACGAGGTCCCAGGACATGTATGGATACCAAAATCCAAAATTGTTCAGTTCATCTTAAATAAAATGGCAAAGTATTTGTGCATAGCACATTCTTTTGTTAATTTTAAATATATCTATATGCATATAAATAATAAAATTTAAATAGTATATAAATAGTTGGAACATTGTATTGCTTGAGAAATAAAGGTCCACTTATGCCAAACGCAGTTGGATATGGCTGAGTTGGTGGATACAGAACTCATATATAGAGAGTAATAACTAATTTATAACTAGGATGAGGCATGGTTGGGTAATTCCTAAGAAGTTTAGTATATTTGATATTTTCAAATACTTTTGTTTACATATCTCCAAGTCAGAGGTACAAGATAAGGACATGTCAACTTACACTCAAAGTTAATAATAATCAATAAAGGATTAAAATATATTTCTCTGCAGAAACATTTCCACCCATTAGATAGAAATATACATATACAAAGCTTGGTGGATGCATGAACACCAGCGAGAAAGACATTAGACGTGATGGCAAAGGAGTTGAGATAAATGGGCTTTGGGGTGTGTGTGTGTGTGTGTGTGTGTGTGTGTGTGTGTGTGTGTGTGTGTGTGTACACATGTGTTTGCAATAAGGAATTAATAGTATTCTACAAATCTCTCAATGAAGATTGCATTTTACTTCAATAAAAGGAAACAAGAAAGAGCAAAAGGCAGAAGAGAAAGAGAAGAAAATAGAAAAATAGCAGAGGAAAGACAGTGACTAGTTTCCATATAGTTTTTCCTGACTGCAGGATGCTACTTTAAACAATTCAGGCATGTTACCATATTCAGTAATCAAACTCTAAGACATAGGTATCTTCCATTCAATGAAGAAAGGTGCATCCCCCAACCGTTTCATCCTGGCAGGAAGTACATGAGCATTGGGGACTTCCTCCATGTGAGGTACAGAACCTGGTCTTTCAAAAGCATGATGCTTGGCATTCACAGCAACGTTCCAGTCATATCTAGAAAACACCATTGTGCAGATCTCCAAAGTAAGCTTCAAAAATAGTAAATTTGAGGGTTTTGTTTTCTCTGGTTCATCCATATGGATGAACAATCATCTATTCTACACAGCACCCCTTCCAAAAAACCCTTTTTAGTTTGCTTATTGAATAATTTTCTCTTTATTCTTTACTCTTATGGTCAGATCCAGTGGCAGTCCTGGCATAGGTAGTGTTTCATCTATCATGTAGGCATATTACTTGTATAACCCTTCTGTTATACAGGGAATGTTCCAATCCCTGTGTAATCCATGGATCCACTAAAACTCCCAGTTAAAAAAATGCAGAAATAAAGGCACAGAGAGGTGGTTTCCTAGCCAGTTAATAAGTAGCAACGATAGAATTTAAACAAGATGGAGCCTCCATCATTATATCTGTGGCTAGAATCAATATCACTTTTCTTGCGGGCATCATTGTACATAGTAGGTACTAAACTGCCACTTGATATATGAATGGGCTTCTTAAGTTGGATTTTTATTTTAAATTCCACATTTGATTAGTGTGGATTTGTTCATTAAGGGTTATAAAACTCCTGATGAAATTTACCTTATAACTACTGATTTGATTCTTTTTTTTTAATTGAGAGTAGGTTTTTTATGATATACTTTAATTATAGATTCTCCTCCTTCAACTCCTCCCATGCCCTTCCCACATTGTAACCAACCTAAATCCACACCCTTTCTTTTTCTCTCTCATTAGGACACAAACAATCCTCTAAAAATGTCGTCTCAGAACCTTTCTATATTCACACACACCCAAATCTACATCTTTTTTTTCCCTCTATTTCTCACCAGGATACAAACGGGCATCTAAAAATAATGAAAGAAAATGACATAAAAACAAACCAGAATAGAACAAAAGAAACAGCAACAGTGAAAAGAGCCAAAGAAAAAGAAGAAACACATACTGAGACGCACACAAAAAGACACACACATTCGCAAACACAGACAACCTATGAAAACAAAACTGGAAACAATAATATGTAAGAAAAATTCTGTAATATTAAAATAAAAAGTCCTCTCTGTGAGAATGGGAAGAGATAGAAGAGATGTCCTATGTGGACTGTGGGTAGGGGTGATGGGAACATGAGTGGTTAAGTTAGGGGGGCACAGAGGGTGAGAGTACTTAAAGAGACCACTAGAAAGGAGGACATTTTGGGATCAGTTAAAAACCTGGTGCCACTGAAACTCCCAGGAATCTACAAGTATGACCCCTGCTAAGATGCCTAGAAATAGTAGATACTTAGTCTGAACTGGTTACCTCCTGTGATCAGTTAAGGCATCAAGTGGAGAGAGTGGGAAAACAACTTAGTCACATAACCTTCAACCTACAGTCTGTCCTGCCTATGGGTTGTGCTAGGGTAAGGGTGGCCTAGAGATTGAGTAAGTGCCTTAACAATAATTGGTTTAGCCCACCTCTGACACTGCCTGGAGCACCAGGACCTACAGGGTAAATGACCCAGAGACCTAAGATAGAACCAAACATAACTGAAGGACAAAAAAGCCAATGTAATGATGCCTAATGATATCCTGTTTTACACATAGATTCGTGCCTAGCCCAATAGTCATCAGAGAGGCTTCATCCATCAACAGATGGAAACATATGCAGACACACAGCTAACCATTAGGTGGAGTTCAAGGAATCCTTCCAAACAGGGACATAAAAGTTTGTAAGCAACAGAAAGGTCAAGGACACCACAAGAAAACTCACAGAATTAACTAACCTGGGCTCATAGGGGCTCACAGAGACTGAACTGACAACCAGAGAGCCTGCATGGGACTACCTAGGTAGATATACTGCACATATGTTATAGTTATGTAGCTTGGTCCTCTTGCAGGACTCCTAACAGTGGAAGTTGGGGCTGTTTCTAACGCTTACGCTGGCTTTTGGGAGCCTATGCTTCATACTGTGTAGTCATATTCAGCCTTAACAAGAGACGAGGTGCCTAGTCTTACTATAATTTGATATGTCATGTTTTATTGATATCCAGCCCTTTCTTGAACAGAAATGAATGAGTAGATTAGGGGGTGGAGTCTGGGAAGTGAAGAGGGAGGGGAAATTGCAACTGGGATGTTAAATAAATAAAATTTCAAAAACGAATAAAAGGGAAAAAGTGTCCATAGTGAGAAAAAAATCCTCCAAAAAATACCATTGAGTACCTTTGTACTGGCCATCTACTCTTAGGTACATGGACTGCCTTTAACTCTTGTTTGTATAATCATTGAGACTTTGATGGTACAA